TTTTTCTACCATTGAGTGGGTTTGTCATAATAGCTTTTATTATGTTGAGACATGTTCCCTCTATACCACTTTGGTAAGAGTTTTTATCATAAATGGGTATTGAATTTTATCAAATGCTTTTTCTGCATCTTATTGAGATGATCATGTGATTTTTGTCCTTTGTTTTGTTGATGTGGTATATCACATTGATTTGCACATGTTGAACCATCCTTATGTCTCTGGGCGTTGGGTTCATTCAGGCTCCATTGCCCTTGAGTGGATGCCGTCTCTCAGAGCAGGTGAGGCCTTTTCAGTCACAGATGACCTATGTATCTCCCATGTAGATGTTTGAGATTCCACTCAGAAACAGCCCAAGCTTGCATGCTTTTCTCTGTTGTGCTCATCCCAGATCTGATGCTGTGCAGTGGTGTGGTGTAGGATATGGCTGGGGGTCAGGACATTGTGGCTGCAGGATCTGAGGTGGCTGTGCCGCTACCTGAGATTTGCGCTGCCTCTGTGGCAGTCTCATCTCTGGACTCGTGTGCTCCAGCTCTTGTGCTAAGCTGAAGTGTGTCGTGGGTAGAGCTGGGGCACTCTTGCTGGAAGATGAAGGCTGTGTACCCCTGAACATGCTGACAGTTGAGATTTCTGCCTTGCCCAGACCACACCCCAGGCCCTCAGGCTTTCCGTCCATAGCTAGGTGAGTTCTCTTCCAGGGCCTGTCTGCCTGGGATTCAGTGCTTAGCCACTGCGTGCTCTTGTGGTGCCACCCCATGAGCATGCTGACAGTGGCCTTTGTGGCTTTATCTGGATCACATCCCAGGCACACTGGTCTGTCTCTTCATGGCTAGACTGAGTCTTTGCCCAGATATCATGCCAGGCTGGGGTGTAGAATGAGCAGGGCCAGGGTGTTTGCCCCTTCAGATTGGAAAGTGCAGCGAGGTGGCAGCCTCCAGTGCAAGGCTCTCTCTACCCTGATTATTGGCAAGCCAGTTAGGCTATACACCTCAGGAGTAGAGTCCAGGCCTCTCTAGCCTTTCTGTCTGTCTCAGCAGTGTTGCTAGCAGGAAAGGGGCCTTGATTCCTCTATGCAGGACCCAAGGTCTGGAATGCCCAGATCGTGGTTCAGCCTGCTTACTCCCCATGGCAAAGATCTGCCCATGCAGGCCTTCCCTTCTTGATAGATTCCTCCCTGGGGCACAGGCCCTTTCCTGATGCTATGTTTTCCCATGCTACCCAGTTATGTGGAGATCTTTATTGCAGTTTGGTTGTATAGGAATTCTGCCTCTTTGCAGTTAAATTTCCGTGAGAAAAGTTCCACATGTAGATGTATTTTTGATACATTTGTGTGGGGAGATGAGTTCTCTGCCACCATCCTGACCCCCTTCTCGTACCAGAGTCTTTTAATTACTATATCTTTGTAGTATAGTTTGGAATTAGGAAGTGTGATCCCTCTTGGTTTGTTTTTCTTTCTTGGGATTGCTTTGGCTGTTGCTTTTGTGATCCCTAATAAATTTTAATTTGTTCTAGATTTGAAGTAATTCCATTTGAAATTTGATAGAGATTGCAGTAAATCTAAAGATGACTTTGGGGAGTATGACATTTTAACAATATTAATGTTTCCAAATTATGAACATGAGATAACTTTCATTTGTGCCTTCTTCAGTGTCTTTTATTAGTGTTTTATAGTTTGCAGTGTAAAGATATTTAACTTTTTGGTTAAATTTATTCCTAAGTATTTTAGTATTTTGATGCTACTGTGAATGGAATAGTTTTATTTCTTTTTCAGATACTCTATTTTTAGGGTATAGAAATGCAACTAATTTCTATATGTTGATTTTGTATCCTGCAACTTTTCTATATTCATTGATTAATTCTATCTGGTTTTTTTTTGGTATAGTCTTTTGAATTTTCCACATATAAGATCATATATCATCTTATATGCAGAGACAGTTTTACTTCTTCTTTTTCATTTGAGATGCCTTTTATTTCTTTTACTAGCCTAATTGCACTGGCTAGTACTTCCAGTACTATATTGAATAAAAGTGCTAAGAGTGGGTGCCCTTGTCTTGCTGCTGATCTTAGAGTAAAAGTTTTCAACCTTTTACTATTGAGTAAGAAGTTACCTGTGGGCTTGTAATATATAGGCTTTATTATTAAATTTACTGTGTTGAGGTACATTATGTCCATACAGTTTTTGAGAGTTTTCATCATGAATGGGTGTTGAATTTTGTTAAGTGCTTTTCTGTATCTATAGAGATGATCATATGATTTTTATCTGTCTTTCTATTCGTGTAGTGTATCACATTTATTAATTTGTGTATGTTGAACCATCCTTGCATCCCAGGGTTGAATTCTACTTGATCATGGTGTGTGATCCTTTTACAATGCTATCAAATTCAGTTTGCTAATATTTTGTTGAGAATTTTTGCATCTGTACTCATCAGCGATATTGACCTATAGTTTTTTATTCTTATGTTATTCTTATTTGGCTTTAGTATCAAGATAATGCTGGCCTCATAAAATGAGTTTGAGAGTGTTGCCTCCCTTTTTTTGGAGCTGAAGGGAATCATATTAAGGGTTTTCTTCCTTCCTTCCTTCCTTCCTTTTCTTTTTCCTTTCCTTTCTTTCCTTCTCATTTCCTCCTCCTTTCCTCCCTTCCTCCCTCCCGCTCTTTCTTTGCTTCCTTCCTTCTTTCTTTCCTTTCTTTTTCTTCCTTCCATCTTTCCTTTCTTCCTTCTTTCTTTTCTTCCTTCCTTCCTTTTTTCTTCCTTTCTTTCCTTTCTTTTCTTTCTTTCTTTCTTTCTTGTCAGACTAAGTGTTTTATTTCAACAGACATCCTTGGTTAAAAAGATAAGTTGGCAGAGAGGAGGTTCAACATTTCATCACACCCAACAGTGAGCAAAACTTCCATCCAAGAACTCAGAGTCCCTTCTGAGGCATCACTTGAGTCTTTATTATGTCTAAGACAGAAATAAGCTGAATCTTCTAATTTTCACTAAGAAAAAAATCTATCAAATATATTCATTCTTGCAGAGGTAAGAGTTGGGTCCTTAGGGAAAGATATTCTGGGCTTAGAACAGCTGGGTCTCAGAAGTGAAGTTGGGGGCTGACAAATTGGGCTGCAGGAAATCCTAGGAGCAATCAGTTCCACAGTCCTAGAAGCCACATTTGGCTTGGGTCTGCTTGTGGCTGAGCTTATCCTCAGACCTGGTGTTCTTCAGTTCCAGCTCCCAGCTCCTTAGCTTGATGAATCAGATATGTGACCTGGTGTTTCCACTGCCTCTGTCCTATTGGCTGCTCACCTTTCTTTCTGAAAGACTTCATGATTTTGTTTGTTTTTTGTTTAATTTTTGGGTTTTGGTGATACTCATGTTTTTTACTTCTGTATGTTCGGAATTTTCTAAAATAAAGTTTATCTTTTTTAAACTTTCCCCACTCCACTCCACCCCCAGCTGCTAGACGTACACTGGGCCCAGGACAAGAGCAAA